GCACTAGCTTTAGATTGCATTGTTAGGCTTGTTCGTAGAGACCTGTAGGTGTCTTGTGTAACAACGATTTGGGCAGCATTACAGTTGTTCTGTGGCTTAGCCCTGGCTACAGAAGTCGTTCCTTGGTGGCGGGCTGCCTGTAAGACTGTGGGTATGTGCCAGGTTTCACACTTAGGGCTTCTCTGTTAAGCAGCCACCACTTTTTAAGATATCTTCTGGAATTTTCTTAGAAGTCTGGTCCCTGAGATGAATGTGGCTCACCACTGGATGTCATCATTGCACTGTGATGAACTGCAACCAGAAGAACATTTGTCTGGCAGTAAAAAATAATGTTGCCTGACCAAAGATGACATTTAATTTTCCCACATTTTAAATTAGTAGCGATACAGTGATGACAGTTTGCAAGTAATTGGTCCATAATCCTTCCTTAAGGCACAGAGCAGCTCTCTAGTGTGTTATACAGACAATTCTCCACCTTCTGCAGCGAGGCTATGCTGAAATCTCAGCTGTGGGTCTCCACCATTGCAAAGACATGGTATAAAAGATGTCTTGGGGTAAAAGATGTCTTGGGGATCTCAATGTGCCGTGTGCTTCTTGAGAAGGCCAATGTCATTACCATAGCTTTAAAATAAAATACTTATTCTTCATATATTGAGTTACTCTGTCAACTAATATATAGCAAATATATTTCTACTGTAATTTCATAGGAGGAATTTAGAGGACTTAATTTTATTAACCCTCTGTCTCCTATTCATAATAGAGGAAAACCTGTTAGAAGTCTTAGATTGCTTCCTGCCTAAGTGACACAGCAGAAATGTATAGAAGTGTCTGAGAAATAATAAAAGTACCTCCACTTTCTATTTGTCTCTTCAGTGCATTTATCAATCTGCGATTATGCATTCTGTGAAATGAAAATGTATATAACCCAAAGCAATAAGAAAAGTGCCAAGTGTGTTGTATGCAAGATGGGAACTATTTCCCTGTCTTTCATCAGAAATTTCAAAAGTAAATATAGTTCAGTGCAGAAAAAAAAATTGTCAAATGCAATATTATCTCTTGGCTCTTTCTTGCATATTTGTTTTGAGAATCTCAGTTACTGAGACCTAGAGAAACAAATGTAAAAAAAAAAAACAACCCAAAAACCATGGAGTTTGTCTTTCCCAGTGTTTGCATTAAGAAGAATGGGAACTGAGAAGCTAGTAATTAAAAACTTCATAGTAAGATTTTTGGCCGGAGTATTGATCTCAGTGGCATTGACACTCATTTGACAGCCTGGCTTTCAGTGCAGCTGCTCTGGTTTTAGGGGGGAAAAAAAAAAGGTCAATTCTATCATTTTGGAAGAGAGTTTCCAATTAAATGCGCAAAGACACTCGAGATATTGAGTTCCTAATTAATTTACAAATAGAACCATTTCTGTAAATAAAACAGAGTAAAAACTGCTCTGGAAGGTATAAAAATGGCCTTAACATTGTGTAAATATATGTTCCCTAGGTGTTAGCTAAATGGTAGTAAATTATAGAAGAGGCGGTGTTTTCTCCTCTCTTATGAAGGACTCCATAGCATCTTTTCCAGGAGAAGCCAGACCATTAAGCTCTGCTAATTTTCTGTGACCTATTAAACATGCACATATTTCAACATTTTAGTGCCATTTATCTACTATTTATCTTGTGCTGTGCACAGAAAAATCGTAGTGCTAGTCATGTCAGTGAGCCATAATAAGTTTTGTATGAATGCAAGGTAATGCATTACTGATGGTTTAATGATTCTTACCAGACTTTTGCTGGGGTTTTTAAATGCATTTCTGTGTCATTTTACATATTTTTGACAGTTGAGCTATTCTTTGAACCACATAAATCGAAAGCTGGTACTGAAATCTAGAGCATCTATCAACACTAGAATTGTGGTAGTTGGTGCATCTGATGTTGGCATCTCTTTTCTGGAAAAGCTCATTTTTTGGTAAGTTTTTAATCTGATTTCCTTTCCTGAGAAGAATATGTTACCTTTTTTTTGAAGGGGTTTGCTTCTTCCACTTAGGACCGTGCTTTGAGTCTGTGTCCAAGTACTAGATGTTAAGGGTCTGAGTGTCTGTGGCTGTAAGGAGGTAGGTGCTTGCACCATGGCTGACTCTGGAACTCAAAAGTGCTGACAAAGTTGCTTGTAGATCCTCAAGGTGAAGGCACACTGAAAATGAGAATTCCATGCATTTAAAATCTCTTTTGACTGTTGTTCTTGTATAAAGATACTGTAGGTGGAGGTTAAGTCCATAGCCCTTCTTATGTGTGTTCCAAAGCGGTATTGACCTTCAAAGCTAGTTGTGCCCCGTGGGATCACGAGTGACTGTCTAGATCCCTCCCTTCTCTTATCTTGTTGGGGTGCTGTTTTCAGAGCTGTGCAGAAAGGTGCAACATAAGCTTGTTGAGTGGTAATCTCACCATGATTCTTTTGATTCTGGTAACACCTTTTGATACCTTTGATTCTGATGAGGCTTTTGATGTTTGGGATTGTTCAGGAACCAAAAAAAATGGTCATATCTGGCCCTTGTGCCATTTTTGCTGTAGACCCTAGAGTGGGTGTGGGAAAGGTCTAGCAGAGGACACAGCTGTCCAGCAGTCTCAGCCTGGACCAAGAGCACAGGCGTCAGCTATATATTAGTATATATTCTGTATGTTAAAGAATTTTTCGGCAGTAAAACTGTAAATTGAATTGCTTTGGTTACCTCGAGTTATCCGAACTGGAGTGAATAAACTGTATAACCTGTTGAGGAGGGGAATAAATGTATGCAACTGTTTTTATACATTCCACTGTCTAAGCCAGAGTAACCTTGTGGATGAGTTCTGCTGTTTTACAGACTTTCCAAAGTTAGGACAGAGGTACCCTCTCTGATACCCCACTGCTTGCGCCTTCTATGCCAGTACCCCCTCCACACCAGTTTTAGGGGGTTATCGGGAAGTCAGACTGTGTGTGTTGAGAATGGTTCCTTTTATGCAGTTGTTGTTTTCCTCATAGATTAAACATATGTACTAGGAATGTCTTGAATGACTTGCAGAAATGAATATAAAATTCAAATTCTGTATGCGATTGTTGCAGCAAAATGTTAATTACAAAAACTAAGGGAGGCTGGCATTTTTATGGTTGGCAGAGAATTGAAAATTTTGCCTATCTTTTTCAGTTAAGCCAAGAGTTTGTATTTCTACAACAACCATTAATAACATCACAAACTAAAACATCAGTATGGCAAGAGAAGAAAAAGTTGAAGTGCTTTATGGATGCTGTTATATTGCTAGAGCAGTGAAGAAAATCTACCTGCTTCTTGTTCTTTTTTCTTAGTTCCTGACTTCCTGTAGAGCATTCCTTCTTGGGGTAAAATAGTTTTCCTCTCGCCCTCCTGTTCTCAGCACCTTTTAGGCTTTCAGTTGTGCTCAAAATTCAGTTAAAAATATACTTTTGAGCTATTAGCCTTGTTCTTGTTCCTTGTCCTGTGCTGTTTATTACTGCACTTTCAGTCTAAAATACTGTGAGGGAGAAACAGAGCAGATTTACCCTCCATGTCTGTCAGCCAGAAGCTCAGTCTGTAGTGAACAGGACATACATATAGCATTGTGTCTGCAGGGCAATCCTGTGTAGGTGTCCTCCTCTGAGGTACCTCAAGCAAGGCTTCAGCCAGAAGTTTTGTTTGAACCGTGTTCTAGCAGAGAGTTCTTGTAGAACGTGTCCCTGTTGTGCCCAGGAGAGAGTGCTTATCTTCAGCGCTGCGCAGAGAGCTCCCACTCAAGAGAAATCGGGTGTTGCTCTGAAAACACAAAAAGCAAGCAGTCAGCACTTAGTGCAGAATGTCACAGAATTTATATTAATATATGTATAAATTTAAGAAAGATTAATTTTTTAATTTTCACATCAGCAGCAGATAAAGTCTCCTGACCAATGTGAAGGCCTTTTAATACAATTTAGTTTAATTTACTCGTAATTTTCTAATATTCCTTGCAAAGGTTACATGTACTAAAAATAGATAGATTGAATCAATTTGTAAGCCCCTAATCCTTAAAAAGAGGAAGTAGTTTTCTCCTCATTATTCTTCATACTTAATTATTTTACATTATCAGTCACCATGGAAACACACAAATGTAATTCACTTACCTACATAACAATTACTAGAACTAGATTTTACAAGTGCTTTCAACTTCTTTGAGATTGAAGAAATACATTTTTCATGGACCAGAGACATAATCATGAGCGTTACCTCCCCTCACTCAAGAGCCGTCGCAGGCTGCCTCTCGCTCCCGTGGCGCTGGGGCAGCGGCACTGCCGCCCTCACCGCGGCCGCTGCCGCTGAGTGCTCCTGGGGAAGGTCAGCGTGGTCGCTCTTCGGGCAGCGCTGCCGAGCAGCCGTGGGCACCGCTTCTTACCCACCTGAACTGAAAATGAGCTGTACAGTCCGTGCTGCAGAGGGGGGAGTGTGTGCTGCGAACCGTTATCTTACGAAATGCTGCTTCAGTCTTGCACTGTGGTTCATCACCTTACTGTTGGGGTTTCTGGAAATGGATCGTCACAGAGGTCGGAGCACGGGTGCATCCAAGTCTGTGCCCGTTATTTCGAAGGGCAGTGCAGAAATGCTGCAAATGATACATGGAATGGACCTGCTAGTAAGGGAAGCTTCTTCCTAACACTCGGGGTGCTCTGAGCCCTGGAGAGTTGCATCCATTGTGCTTAGTGTAACATTGTGCTAGGTCAGTGATGGTGATCTCATTGTTCATGTTTCACCACTCAAATAAATATCTCCTACTGTGTTTTTTTTCCCCCTCAGAGTGTAATCACATGCAGACGTGTTTTCAGCTGTAGTGTTACTTTTGTTTAGGATGCCTATGAATTTTTATTCAAGAAACTGGTGAACGATGGAAGGGGCAGCGCTGGCAGCAATGCAGGCAGAGCCTGGCCTCCCTTCCCGTGCCTGGCCGGCAGCAGGCACAGGCACGAAGGTGGCTTCAGAGGCGGTGCCTCGGCTGCTGCTCTCCCACGCGTGAGGGGCTGGGACGCGCTGGAACGGGGGCAGTGAGTTGCATCATAAATTGCTGCAGTAATTAACTTCCCTGCAGGAGCATGCACGCAGAGACGGAATTGTGATTCCCACAGTTCCTGCATGAGGCTCCTCATGGGCAGTGCAGTTATGCGCTTCCCCTTACACAAAGCCAGGACTTAGGACACTCTCTAGCACTAAGATGGGGCTTATAAATTGCAGCAGCATCATCAGACCGTTTGTTAAAGCTGGGTAAGCTCTGAGTGGTGTCCAGTCCTAAAGGAGAAGCAACAACTGAACAAATACCCGCCTTGTGAAAAGCAGCTCAACCCAGCAACACGGAGTCTCAGCCTCTATTGTTCTCTGCCCTCCAAACTGTCAGTGCTGGCTGGCGCTCCTGCCGCCCCTTTGTTGTAGGATGTGGGGAGAGAGCCCTTTCAGCCTCGGAGTGAAGCGAGTCAAAGAAACTCCAAAGAGAGGTTAAGCTAAAATGCGAGTTTCAATTATTTTTAGTTTCCCTCGAGTGACTTGGTCTTGGGAGAAGGAAAAAAAAAAAAGCGGGGG